TCGGCCTCCCAAAGTGCTGGGATTACAGGCTTGAGCCACTGCGCCCGGCCGTGTGTAGGATTTGTATTTAAGATGAATTTAGCATAGGTAATGTATCTTTAACTTAAAGTAGAATTTTTATGATATGGGTAGAGAAATTCAAATTCATGTTATAGCATATCAATTATTTATCTAAATCCTAATTAGAAATTAATTTTATTTCAGATATATTTACTAGAGATTTCATGTTGCTGTAGTTCACTTATAATTATACTGAAAATAAAATTAGCACATTCTACAAAATAAGAGGAAGCACTTCTATATTAAAATCTTTTTTATGAGCAACGTAATTTATGTATATGTGATTTATTTTCTAAAAAATTCAGAGCAATTATTAGCAATAGGTTGGTTAGAATCAATGATTATGGTAGCACTATGTTGCTTTGCTTCTAAACACATTTAGACATAATGCATTTGAGATTTCATTATGGATAAAATTGCCTGATGATTTAATAATCTGTTATTGCTTCTGCGAGTTTTTCTGAAGAGTAGGTTCTATAAAACTCAGTAGATGCTGGATCCCACATTCTTTGTGTCTGTGGGTTGTTATTGGGTCAGAATTATTGCAGAGCCTGAACATTTTTATGTGAAGCAGCTAAAATGAAAAAAGATTTTGACTAGATAAATAAAAGTTCCCTCTCAGTCTCAGGAGGATTAAATGCTTAGCTACTTGCAGAAACATTAAAAAATAGCTCTTCCTTCTAATGTATTTTTTATTTGACTTTTCTTCCCATAATCCTTGCTGTTTTCCATCTTAGAAGCTTTTTGCTTGTGACTAAATCTTTACATTTTCTTCATTTTAGGCTCTTAATGTGGCCTTCTTTTTGTGTGTGTTTTTGGGGGTGGGGGGGATTTGTTCAAAGCAGAACTTTTCCAAGTGCCAGGATTCATTCTTCAGCTTGAGGTGGTTCCCTGCCCCCTCACAAACTGTCTATGCAGCAGTCACGCATGAGATATGTTTGCTTTTGTGAGCGTGCCCTCATGACTGCTTTACTCACACGTTTTTACCATGAAAAAGTCATGCCTTCAAGATGTGCAGCATGGGGATGCCTGTGGGTGTAGGGAGGCACTGGGGCTGTGCTGCAGAGCTGTTGGATACAGAGGGCACAGGCCTTGCCACTCAGAGGGGCCACTGTGGCTGTGGGGCTTGTGGGGCTTTGTCCCATCTCCAGACACCTCTGGGCACCAGGCTTTTGTGAGTCGCAGGTACATCATCATCCAGTGCTTCTTTTAAGTAGTTGGCATTAGCTTCATTAGGTACTTTTACCTAAGTTGGGATATTAGAAGGTAGACGTGAAGTAGTGCAACAGTGTCCCCAAGACAGAAAATCCTTCTCTGTTCATTTAGGGCTGGTGTTAGGTATTGGTGGTAGCTTAGGGCTGATACATGAAGAGAGGTTAGGTGAAGCAGCAGGGCTGTGGGATTGGCTCCCTTTCCCCAGGATGGAGGACTTTGGAGCTTGGAGCTCTTTTCTGGAGGTTCCCAGCACCCTCTTTCTAGGCCGTAGCTCTCAATCAGCACTACTTGGTAGATCACTGGATGCATTGGGCTCTCATCTGGTCTTTTGTGGATGGCTTCTGTGTAAAGTGGCAGGATGAATTTAAGACCTGAAATGGTGAAACAGCAATGACTTTGAGGGTTGATTGGCAGTGGCATTTCCTCGTATGAAGTACTGTCACTTCCCCATTCCACTTCAATATAGGGCATGTCATGACACTGTATTCCTCAAGGAGCACATTTCCTGATGATGATAACATAACATGTGGTAGAGCAGCAAAATGGTAGCATAGGCTGCGGGATTAAACCTCCTGAGTTCATTTCTGATTCAGTCACATGATTTTTCTCAGCTTTAGTTTCTCAACTGTAAAATGGGCATAAAAATAGTGACTACTTAATAGGGTTATTATGAAGAAAAAGATAATCTGTAGAAAGAGCTTTGCATGGCATATGTTACATAGTAACATACTCTTCCTCAACAACTCAACCCTCTTCCTATAGGTAATGATGTGTCAGTTGGAATTCATGTTTTCCTTATTTCATTGTTTGCCATATTCATACATGTGTATGAAAAACCTAAGTGTAATAAACAGCTAATGTCTGCATTTTGATTATATCTCTTCTGTTCTCTAGCTTTCTTTATGGTATGAGATTGGGACTGACCTGTTTCTGGAAATGACAGGGAGCTAAAATTTAGAGTTGCATTCCGTGAAACAAGCGTCCTTTTTTTTTTTTTTTTAAATCATGGCATGAGCAGGGTTTTCTAGGTAGGGTAGAGAAGGTTTTTAGGCAGGATTCCATGGAGTGGGAAAAGTAGTTATCTTATTCCAATGGCAGCCATCCTTCCCCTCTTCTCACCTTTATGTGGGAGCAGGGTGAGTTTTGTTTTGTCACATAGCATAAGAAAGAAGCACCTACATAATTAATTAGATTCAGTGAGATCAGGAAAGGAGAGAATTTGGCTATGTTCTCCCATGGCACAGAGCTAGAACCATGCTGGGCACTGGTAAGCCTCTTTCTCCTGCCAGGTGACAGCTGAGCTGTTGCTTATCGCAGCAGAACACCTACTGGGGTTTCCTTGGCAGGGAACAATGGTGTTATGAGTTACATTTCAGAATTATTGGGGTAAAAAAATACTATCCCCTTTCCCCAATATCATTTTAGCATCCATAACATGGCAAAGCTAATCAGTGGTAAAAGGTATCAGTAGAGTGATGGGCTGGGGATGGTCTAGAACAGGGATGAGGGAGCTTTCTTGGGTGATGAAATAATAGGGACATGGGATATATGGGTATATGCATTTGTCAAAACTGATCAAACTGTACATTTATTATCTGAGCATTTTATTATATGTACCTTATATCTCAAAGAAAATATAAATTGTATTAGAGTCAGTAGGATAATTAAAAGTGTGGTTTTACAACTTTTATTATCAGAGCTAGCAGAGAATAGAGGCTCTGAATGTGAACATATAGCATTTGCTAAATACTTTGGCAAGATATCTCTAGGAGAAACATAGCTTCAGTGCCCAAATCCTATGAGTAGTGTTATATTACTTTGCTTCAACTTTAAGAATTTTAAAGGTATAAGGGGTCTACCTATTATGTGCTGGGTTAGAAACATTTTAAGATCAGGAAAAAAAAAAGAAACATTTTAAGATCAGATAATGCAAAACAAAGATTATTCCGTTTGAAGGAGTAAGCAAATAAATTTTATGATTTTATATCAGATACTTTTTTAAAAAAGAAATAACACTAAATTTTTCTTTACTTTTTATGTGAACTATGGGATACTTTGTGTTGCTTTGGTGATAGTAAAAAAAAAAAGTCTTTAATCTAAAAAGTAGAAACAGGATAAATACATTTTTTAATGTTTTTTAAAAGGCTAAGGCTTATTTAAGCATTTTAATTATACTTAAAAATGCACTGACTTACTCTAACATACAATATAGTTGAATAATTCTTTGAACAGAAGTTTTACTATGAAATGGACTGTACTTAATTGAATGTTTTCTAAGTGCTAGGCTAGAGTAATTTGATGAGTACCACCAACTCTTTACCAATAAGAGTTGATAACACAGCCTGCCCAGCATACATTATCAAAGTTTTTGTTGCTGTAGCTTTAACAATGTCAGTTACTATATGATTGTTTTTATATGTAATTCCAGTAATTGCAAGTTACTAAAATATAAGAATATATCACTTGATAGCTAATATGAACAAATTTACTTGAATAACTTGAAGATACCTTCAATTAAAATGTAATAGCTCACGCCTATAATCCTAGCACTTGAGAGGCTGGGGCGAGTGGATCACGAGGTCAGGAGTTCAAGATCAGCCTGACCAACATGGTGAAACCCCATCTCTACTAAAAAAAAATACAAAAAAGTAGCTGGGCGTGGTTGCACATGCCTGTAGTCCCAGCTACTCAGGAGGATGAGGCAGGAAAATCACTTGAACCCGGGAGGCGGAGGTTGCAGTGAGCTGAGATTGCACCACCCAGGCTGGGAGACAGAGCGAGACTCTGTCTTTAAAAAAAAAAAAAAAAAAAAAGTAATAGCTTTGATTATGTATTGTTTGACTGAATTCAAGGGCCAGCAACCCACATCCTATTTAGGAAAGTGTTTTAAACGTTTCCTGAAAAAGCACTATTAAAGGATTAAGTAAAGAATCTTGTGAAACTTTTTTATTGCTCTGATATCATGACATTTTTTTCTTTTTTCTTTAATGGGAAATATATTTTAATTATATTTATAATTTTGGAAGTCTTATTACTACAAAATATTATATGTTTCCTACTTTGCAGATAACTCAGGAGGCTGGATAATTCATGTACACTTTACCATATGGCTACCATGCTGGTTTTAATCATGGTTTTAACTGTGCAGAATCTACGAATTTTGCTACTGTCAGATGGATCGACTATGGAAAAGTTGCCAAATTGGTAAGCTATGCCTCAGAAATAAAGCATAAATTAAATGTGTATTCTGGTTTTTGTAGTAGGAACCCTAAGATTCTGTGCAGCATTTATTTATTTTTCCTCACTGGCGCTGTGTGCCTCTCACCATAGCAATTCGTTTCAGGCTAGATACATTTATTTTACATAGGCAGTATTACCAATTTTAGCTGAGTTTGTCTGTTTTGAGATTAATGTGGAGCAGTTTACCCTATTAGGTAATTTTATGCAACGTGTGTTTGTTTTCTGTCTTGAGGCCTTTAGTTGGTGTTTTGTAAGGTTTTCCAATGGCATCAAGTGGCTCCGTGTTAGATAGACTCAGACCTCTCCCTGTTCGAGATCAGTTCATGGCTTAGAAAACAATTTACAGAAGGGAGTGTCTGATAAAATTGTGGCAAGAGGTGGAGGGAGTTTGGTAGGAAGAGATGATTAAAACTGCCCTTAGTGCAGAAATGAAATCTTGAAAGTAATAATGTAGAACACATTTTAGTAGGAATTGCACGTTCATGTTAAATTTGGTGCAAAATTTTGCATCTCCTGCCCAGTATATTTAATTTAGCTCACATACTGTGTATTTTCATTCACAAGCAATAATTTCTATTAAATTTAATTACTTTCCTCCTGTGGTGTTAAATAGAAGGCATCTTCAAAGTGATGGTGGTTTCCATTAGGTTTGCTTCCTTTCCTATGGCTTTTAAGGGAAAGGTGCAGGCTGGCAGAGGGTAGCTTCTAAATGAAACTGTGTTTTACAGAGTATGTAAAATTGACATAGATTTAGCAGAAAATGATAAATAAAACTTATGTGGTCTTGGCCCCTGCATGGCACAACTGAATATCCTTCATTCTACATTGATAAAACTTACATTTGGAGACATTAGGTGAACTTAGATGGAAGTATGTTCAGGGAAGAAAACCAAGTTTAATTCACCTGTGTATTTAGAAAATTGCAAAATATGTTAAAAGTGTAGCCCTTTGGCAGCCCAGGACTCACTTAAATACATTCTGGACATAAAAGAAAGCCCCTGGTATTAGAAGACTTTTTCTGTTCTAAGTAATTTCTGTTTACAGTGAGTAATTCAGAAAGGAACAGAACTGTGCTACTTCACATTATACATCCTATGCATTCTAACAAAACCTCGTAAGAAATAGAAAACTCAGTGTGTGTACCCAGGGCAGCCACTGCATTGCTTTTGTGGAAATGTAACGTGTGCATCTGCCTTGAAGCAGTGTCTTGGCCATGAGGTTATAACAAGGCCTGTTATTTTATAGTTTGCACCTTTACTCACTGACATAAGTCAGCTATCTTAGCTGTTCAGAGTTACCACAAATACTGATTATTGTTTAATACAGGTCCCAGAAGCAGTCCATGATATTGGCCAAAATAGGACATTCCTGCCTTGGGGAGAAGCTAAACAACCATGTACATTGGAGTTGCATTTCCACATTTCCATGTGGAAGCAGAGAGCTGAGTGTGGTGTGGTGGCTTGAGCCTGTAATCTCAGTTACTCGGGAGGCTGAGACAGGAGAATTGCTTGAATCCTGGAGGCAAATGTTGCAGTGAGCCAAGATTACGCCATTGCATTCCAGCCTGGTGACAGAGTGAGACTCTGTCTCAAAAAAAAGAGAAATTTCATTATTTGTGTAAAGCTCAGATACACTTCTTCCAAGTTTTAGCAAATTCCTGGATATTGAATATTCTCAGCTGAATTATTGTATTTGGGAGATATTTCTGTCCCTGTGGATATATTCTCTGTTTTTTCAGTCCTTCAGTCCAGATGGTCCTTTTTCATGGTATCTATCCAAACTGCCTCATCTCTCAAACAGACATTTTGTGTGTGCGTATGGATTACGTTTAGAACATCTGGGGAAAATGGAGTAAAGGAGTGAAGGGACATTCACCTTTTAGTCGTGGTAGCTACTTAGTGTAACCATCCCTGTTTCTAATATTCTCTTATAATGCCCCAGGCCTTACCATTTTTCTCATTTCTCTCTTTGCTTCTGTTTTCCTCAATGAGGATCATTCTGTTCTCTTGTCTTAACATGCAAAAATTAGGATAGCCAAATCCTGTAAGATGCTCCGGAACAAAAGGCCTTGCGTTTAGCAGGACCCACTGACCTAAGAAGACAGTCGTGCAATTTTCCTCCATTTTACTAATCAAAGACAAGATCATTACTGAGAAAACTTGAGAGTGATGTTTCAGGTAGCCGCATGTTTATTTGCTGCTGATGGGCAGAGATCAGGTTTTGTGAGTGCTTAGTGAGTTTGTCCCGTGCTGCATGTGTGTACAAAGAAAGACATATATTTGTCTTCAAGGAGCTTTCAGAAAGAACAGAAGGACTTTTAATAAAACTTCACTTGCAAAATTGTAGTATTAGTGGAACATACCATCTAGTTATTTGTTTTAGGAATTTTTGTGGCTTTGAATGTTGGTGTAACAGTGAAATGCAATTTTTTTTTTTTTGATAGAGATTTAAAAATATGTAACAGCTCGTTTAGCAGTTGAAATAAGACATTTGTGCAGATTTGAGATGACTGTTTTCTGTTTCTGGAGCTTTCTTTCCTTCCGTGATGGGAGTCCGTGATTACTCTGTGTAGCTGCTGCTGTGACACTCACAGGTCTGCTTCCTGGCTAGGCTGGATCAAAGCGCTGGCCTGTAGGTTGTATTTCATTTTTCCGTTTGTTGGGATGAAGTGCAGTTGTTTTGATGTTAGGTTTGATGGATTTGTTTGCCACTGCATTTATTAGCTTCACATCAAAAAACTGACAGCCTGTTAAATGAAACTTTGGCTTAGATTTTCAGCTTGACTCTTTGGAGACATTTTGTTTTTGTGTTTGAGCAGCCTCAAGCACTATGATTGTCTCAATGGGAAGAAAAGTTATTTACTGTACGATTTTCTTGAGTAAAAAAGAATCATTGTCTTGGGGACAGTCATATCTAGTCTATACCATCCGAAGCAGTGTATTTATTACAGTGTGTGCAGTGAAAGAGACTTACTGTGTCAGGATAAATATTATCTTATTGGAAGGAAAGGTAATACCTGGTGACATGAAAATGATATCTTTTATTTTGCATTGATTTTAAGTGATATTATATTAACATGATATGTCAGTAAGTTGAAAAATTGTACTGCAGAGCTGGGAATGTTCTCTTACAAACTTCAGGAGTACTACTCCACTATCTAATTTTAAAACATTTTGATATTTGAATCCTTGAATGTTTGAACAAGTTTAAAAAGAGATGATAGAATATTGAAACTGATTTTCCTTTAATCTGGCAGGGGTTTCAACTGTTAAATTGTTTAGCATGTAAGTGCCATGTTGTAGGTTCATTCTGTTTTATATTTCAATTCTCTAAAATTAAATTAGATATTTCTTAAATCAGGTAGCATCCTTCCATAACATCTTTAATGTTGGGCATTCTTTATTTAAAAAATCAGGAATCATTTTTATGGTGAGTCTCTAGGGTATATTTTAATATGCTTTTGATCACGAAATGCTAGTATAGTGATATTCCTCTGTTCCTGTGACATGTGAAGGAAAGAAAATATAGACTGCTTTGAATATTGTTCATTTAACAGTTCTTGACATTTCATTTTAAGTGTCTGACATGACATATATAATATGAACTTCGTGAGTATGGGGATTTTATGTTCTGCATTTTTTTTTTTTTCCAATTTGCCTCTACTTTTTCTCTTTTGCCCAGGCTGGAATGCAGTGGTGCAATCTTGGCTGACTGCAGCCTCTTCCTCGAGGTTCAAGCAATTCTCCTGCCTCAGCCTCCAGAGTAGCTG